AATTGACCSAGGAAGTCTGAACATGAAAGAAAAAAGGGCGACGCGAAGTCATCCTTTCGGCAGCCAAGAGCTGAGTAACGATCCCAAAAACCAGGAAAAACAACCCCATCAGCTGCGGGAGTGACGTGCGAGGGRTGGCTTCGGGATGTGATGAGAAGGAATTTGAGGCACCAAAAGCTGGGGCAGATAAATGTATAAAAGGCAGAGAAATCCGACGCTCTCCACTCGCTCCTTCAGCTTTGGCTCTTGCTCTTCGTGGTAAGTCGGGCTTAAGGGGTTTTTATTCCCTGGTTCTTGCTGGGTTTTGCTGCAGTGGGGCACAGATGGGAATTCTACTTTAAATTATGTTTTTTGAGTGATTTCATGGCCATGCAGCTCAGGTTTTTTTGGTGAAAATGGGATATTAAGATGCTGCTAAATGTAGAAATTTGGTTTACCTAGACATACGCTGGGAGAAATGCTTTATTTGAGGATACTCTGAATTATTTSAGGATTTACTATGAATTGGCTGTGCCAGGGAGGTTCAGGTTGGATATYGGGGAAAGRGTGGCCTGGAACGGAGAGGTGCAGTTGGTTCCTGCATTGTCCTTTCTCTCCTCTCCACTTTTCCATGCTTACACAGGGTTTTTTTTTCTGGAAGCAGCAAACTCCTGCTTGACCACTGGGACAGAGCAGATCTTACCTTTCAAACAGACAGRGAGCAGGTCCAGATCAGATTTACTGCAGGAATGGTTCCCTGGGAGGGTGGGGATGCCCTGGCCAAGGTTATTCCATGGATTCCCCATCCCTGGGAGTGTCCAGAGCCGGATCAAAGCACGCTGGGATGGTGTAAACAATGACCTTTAATTCCCTCCCAACCCCAAACCATTCCATCATTCTCCGATTCCCCTTTTTTTGCCCCATTCCAGACACTCCCTCCCACAACTCCAAGATGACTTTCTGCTACCAGAGGCAGTGYGAGGAGCCCTGCTACTCCCCCTGCRGCTACGGAACCTTTTACAGCTCCCGCAGCTACGACTGCGGCAGCCCCTGCGGCTACCAGGGCTACTCCGGGAGGTTCTGTGGCTACCGCGACTGCTGCCCCTCCTTCAGCTCCCGCTACTGCACCCCCTACTCCTCCCGCTACTACCAGAGGTATTCCTACRGCAGCTGCAACCCCTGCTACCAGTGTTAAGCTCAGCCCAGGCAGGAACGACCCCAAAAATCCGTGCTGATGCCTCCCGGATGAATTTTCCTCCAGCGAAGCTCTGGTGACAGCGGCCGCGGATGGGTCCCGAGGTTTTGGGATCTCTCTTCAGTGCCTGCTGCTCCTTTCAATAATTTATTTTTTTTTTTCTCGCTGCTCCTTCTCAGTGTTTCGGGATGAAGTTGTTGTGTGTTCTGGGGTGTAGCTTCACRGCAGGCGGTGCAGGAGCCTCGTCTGCTCCTCTCCAACACCGCCTTTACTCCCCAAACCTCTGCTGCGAGCTGTAGTAACTCCTCAGTGTCTGATTGTGTGAACTCCTCTGCTACTACGAGCTRTAATTTCTCCTTAGTCTCATTAAAAGATCTTGCATCACACTCCTGCCTTCGGTTGTATTTTAATGTTTTGGGTTTTTTTTATATTATATTTTACTTTGCTATTTATTTATGTGACACAAACACACAATCAATAAGAGATATTAATTTCTCAGATGGGCAGTTTTTACAAAAATATATCCAGATGATAATCCGAACCCTATCGATAATAATAAAAATAGCGACAAACAAACCCTAATAATAATCCAGATCAAAATCAAAACCATACCCATAAGCGTAGACCTAACCTGAGCCCTAGGCATGGCTATAAGCCTAACCCTAAATTCCAACCCTAATCCTAACCATAACCATACCCCATAACCATAACCCTCACCTAGAGAAGAGAAGGATCCAGGGAAACCTCCGAATCCCTACCAGTGCCTAAAGCGGCTCCAGGAGAGCAGGAAAGGGCCTGGAATTCCCTTTTACAGCGGGAATTCTCATCTGATAAAACAGACTGAAAATGCAAATCAGTKTTTCCCTCCACTGGTCAGGACGTGCAAATTCAGCAGCTGAAAGTTTTAATTTTTTTTTTAATGTTGCTCTGGTTTAGGCACAAATTTGGTTTAGAAGTTTAAAAGGAGTTAAGGGTTGATGCGGCAGAAAACAGACTTTCCTATTTCAGAGTTTGGAAGAAATTAGAATTGATTTGTCTTTTCAGAACKTATTTTTAAATGTTAAGCCTTAAATATTGTATAGGATGCCAACAAACAAACTCTCCAAACCAATAATTAAAACTTACGTGAAACACCCTTCAAAAGATCACACATAACTGGATTTTTTAAATAAATATTTAATTTTGAAATATCGGTGTTAATTCTGGCCTAAATCCCACCCCAGAACTGCTGGAAGGATCCATCGAATGAAGGAATAAAATAGAAAAAAAAATCCCATAGCAAATGAAGGTGGAAAAGCCCTGAAGTTTCCTGGGGATGAACAGGTTTTAACCTGTCCCGTGAATCAGAACCCGTCATTAAATGCCTCAATTTATGATTCCTGGGGAATTCGACTCCATCTTTCTCTAATTAACAAGTGGTGCTATAAATTAGATTTCCACGCAATGACTGAACTCTGTCTCGCGTTCTCCCCTGTGTTTGTAGGYACAGAAGTGAATTCTCATTTCTACAGCTTCGTTTTGGATTTTCAGCTTTTGGGACATCCAAATTTTGCATTGATTTGAAGAATTGAAGGAACTTTGGAAAATTTTGGGAACTTGTTGAACTTCCCAGGGCAATTCCCAGCCTTTCAGTGGCCYTCAGCTCTTTGGTCACTCAGAAATTGTCTGACCAATGTAAACAGCAACAAAATTAAATTTATTTGCCCACGTCACAACCTCAATTAAAATAATTGGTTTCCTCTCCGTCAGGGATTATTAATGTCGTCTCAACTTAATCTGAGGAGGCAAAGAAACCACAATGTTTTAAAAAATTCAACTATTTAAAAAACTTTTGGGGTTCTCCCCAGCTCTAGTGATGAAATCCAGATATCAGAATGGAGAAGGGGATTTTTAGGGGCTAAAATTATAAAATTATTTTACAGCAAATCTTATTAATGATGATTTTCAGCCTCACCTGTGACTTCCAGCACAAAYAAAGAGGYTTTTTTGTAATTCAGCAAATACCTCCTTGCGTGACCTTCCCTGCCATAAGCCAAGCTTCATTTGCATATTAAATGAGGATAATGACAGTGCTGGAAATGCTGAGCCCCACCAGGATTTCTGGTATCAGTGTTCTCCCAAAACAATTATTATGAGTTCCTTTGGTGATATTTGGATTATTTGAATCTTCCCGGGTTGTTGCTGAAAGGAGCCTGAACGGGGAAGGGAACCCCAGGGCTAAGGAAGGATTTGTTTAAATTAATTCCTGGCATYCCCTGGAGCAGCATGACAGGGATCCACACTGGAAAATGCCACCACAGCAGATCAGGGAGGGATTCCTGCTTCCCCGCCTCAGGAAAATTCTAGAAATTTGAAGGGGGATCATCCAACCCTTCCTGTCCTCCAGCCCATCAAAGGCAGGGGCTGCAGAGGAAAATKATTTTATCTTTTTAACTCCCATAAATTCCTCTGTCCATTCTGGCATCTGGAATTTGTTGCTAAAGATGAGGAGGACCCCAGAAGTTTTTTTAAGGTAAAAGAGAAGATCCTCGGCTCGTTATTGTGGACATGGAATCGTGGAATGGTTTGGGTTGGGTTGGGTTGGGTTGGGTTGAAGGACCTTGAAGATCTGATTAAAGATCCTGAAAGATCCATGGGGCAGGGACACCTTCCCCTATCCCATGGTGCTCCAAGCCTGTTCCAAGCTGGTCCTGAGCACTCACAGGAGCAGGGAATCCATGGAATAACCCCTGAAAGGGCCTCCCCATTCCCACAGGGAATGATTCCTTCCCAAAATCCAACCCAAATTCCCCCTCTGTCACCCTGACCCCATTTCCTGTGTCTCATCTCTGCAGTTCCTGAAGAAAAGTCCCTCTGCAACTTCCCTGGAGATCCTGGGAGGGGCTCTGGAATGTCCAAGGGGTTGACCATTCCCAATATTCCCAGTCTGCATCCACAGGGAAGGTTTTTTAGCCCCCTTTATCACCTTTGTGGCCTCTTCAGGACTTGCTCCAACAATTCCACGTTCCTTTTGGGTTGGAGACACCAGAACTGGACTCGATATTCCCGGTGGGATTTCACCAGGGAGAGCAGAGGGGGAGAACCCCCTCCCTCACCCTCCTGCCCGCCTTCCTTGGGATGCAGCTCAGGACAAGGATGGTTCTGGGCTGAGCTCACTCCTGTGAACCCCATTTATAAATCCCATTTATAAATCCCATAAATATCAGGCACGTGAACAATATCACAAGGCACTGACTCAGGCGAGTTTTTCCAATCATTTCATCCGGAAAAAAAAAAAAAGGGCAAAAAACCCTCTCACACCATAAAAATTAACCACATTTCTCAAATGCTGCTTTAATTGACCCCTTGCCTTGCCCCGCACCTCTCAGAGGACAAATTATAGGCAGGAGAGGAACCTAAAAGAATCAATGGAACGCCTGTTATTAATTGGGACGGAAATCCCGGAGCGCTCGGGGTTATTCTCCTCCGCTCCCCGGGTGTTTTTTACGTCACCCCAAAACGTGCAGAGTCCACCTCTCTTGTGGGGCCACCAGGCAAAGAACCAATCCGTGAGCTCCCAGCTCCCCAGGAATTGTGGCTGGAACTGTTGTGYGTAGCCTCCAGTCCCGTTCCCAGCTGTCCTCGGGGTGGCTTCCCAGAAATCCCTTTGTCCTGGAAAGTCTGGAGATGAAAGAATCTCCCGGGGTCTGTAATCACAGAGCCCGACCTCAGGAATTCCAAAATTGTCCTAAACGCCGAGGAAACCAATTATAGCAATTGGGCTGCTGATGTACTTCCCAAATTTGTCCCGTGACCCCCAGGAGCATTCGGGGAACTGTTCCCACTTCCACAATGGGAATATAAAAACGGTCCCGGCCCCGGTGCTCCTCACACGGCTCCTCTTGGTTTGCTTTTCCCTCCAAGCTTGGTAAGTCAGGATCTTGTTCCTTTTAACGTGGGGGGAAATCTTTTGGTCACAGGTTTTCTTGGATGCTTTTAATCTGGGAGACGTTGGCGCAAGAACATTCCTGTGTCCTTGGAAAAGACKGGGAGCCCTGTTGGGAGTTCCCCGTTTATTTTTTTYCTGTGGCAACACCTGGAATTTTCAGGCCCAGCCAGAATCGTTGTGCAAGGAGGAAATTACTTTTTGTAGAGAGATGTTGCAATGGGGAATATGGAAAAGTCACAGGGGTTGTTTGTGTTCCTCTGGAGTCCTTGGGGCAGCTCGGAGCTGCAGGATTTGAACCTTCCCTGCCCAGCAGAGCATTCCTGCTGGAGCTGGAGCTAACAAAGCTGGAGWCACCCAGGAAAAGGAATAATTTATGTGCCAAAATTAAAACCAGGGAGGCTGGAGACTTAATGAACCGCTTGGGTTGTGCGTGAGCACTTCCAAGAACTCCGAAAAACGCTGTGAGGGATCCAAGTCAGACACTGGGACTCCCACATTCCCTACCCCGAGCTGGGGTTCACCTCAGCTGCCTGTGCTGGGAGTTGGGCACCAAATACCCACACATTCCTTCCTCAGGAAGAATTTATTCCTGGAAAGGGATTTTGGGATTGGGAAGGGAGGTTTGGAGTCCCCATCCCTGGAGGTGTCGGAGGAAGGAGTGGATGCAACACTCGGTGCTCTGGGCTGGGGATTGGGCACAGGTTGGACTAGATTTTGGAGGGCTCTTCCAGCCTCAATGATCCTGAGATTTTGGGATCCTGTAACTCAGTGATTTGGGGGATTCCGTGACACAAAAACCATTCTCAACCCTGAGGGATTCACTCAACATTTCCACCCAACCCCACCTCACTCACCACCRCTTTTCTCCCTCAAGCTGAACTCACCCTTTTTCCCATTCCAGGTTTCCCTCCACCCCTCCACCCCAAGATGTCCTGCTGCTACTCCCCCTGCTACACCCTGTGCTGCTCCCCCTGCTACCGCAGCTACACGCTGAGCTGCTACAAGCCCTGCACCACGCGCACCCTGAGCTGCTACCGCCGCTCCTACGGCACCTGCTGCAACTACCGGAGCTGCACCACRCGCTGCTACTACCCCTCGTACCGCTCCTACACCTGCTGCTCCCCCTGCTCCTACTCCTGCTGCTACCCCTGCTGCTACTCCTGCTGCTAAACCATGGAAAAAAAACCCCGCAACCGGACCGACACAACCAGAAGACCAATGGCTGATGTTTGTGAAAGCGCCGAGCCCCCCGCGGTGAAGTTATGATGAACGAGGGCTTTGCCGTGCCCTAGAACCTCTTGGAATTTGTTTTTCTTGTTTTCTCTGTCTCCTTCTTCCTGTCTTTCTCAACTCTCCTGACATTCCGCGTCCAAACCTTCTCACAGCCCCTTCAGCAACGGGAGGGGCGATCTGCAATTCATGGATTCGGCTTCCTAGAGTTGCTCTGTGAAATGAGATTTGGTGTCATCTGCATTTCCAACAAGCACTTCCAGCCCTGAGTAATGGAGCGTTAGGGCTGCCTCGCCTTTGATCTGCGTTTACAAGCACCTGAAGGATGAACTACACGGCTGCAACAAAAAGGARTGTTCTGGAGAGCAGTGACTCATCTGGGGCTGCTGCCAGCATCCCAAAACTATAATCTTTCTGTGTCTGTGCCAACCCCTTTTCTTGTTTCATTAAATACTTTCTGCATTTGAAAAAAAAAAAAAAAACCCCTCTGGGGATCCGGTTGTTTTCTCGCTTTTGTCCTTGGTTTGGATATTCCAGGAGCTGTGGAATTCTGGAGGGACTTTCTGTCCTCGAATCCATGTCCAGCTCTGGGGCCTTCATGGCAAGAGGGACACGGAGGAGCTGGAGAATGCCCAGGGATGGGAACGGGGCTGGAGTAGCAGGAGAAGAGTCTGGAGAATCCTGAGGGAGCTGGGAAGGGGCTGATCCTGGAGAAAAGGGGGATCCAGGGGGAATTTGGGATCTGCCRGGGGCGATTTGGGATCTGATCCCAGGGAACGGGRCCGGGACGAGAGGCAATGGATTCAGACTGTGCAAGAGGAGGCTCAGGGGGGGAATTTGGGGAAATTCTTCCTGAAAAGAGCAGGTGGGCCTTGGCAGGGGCTGCCCAGGGAGGGTTGGATCACCATCCCTGGAGGTGTCAAGGGAAGGACTCTGGGTGAGCAGGTGGGGATCGGGTTGGACTCCACAATCTTGGAGCTGTTTTCCAGCCTCAGTACAGGAATTCTGTCATTCAAAGCTCTTCCCACCCTCCTTCACAGGTCATGGTGGGGAAACTCTTTCCTACATCTGCTATCCTAGAAATCCCTTACCAGGGAATCCAGGTACCAACAGGACCAGGGAAGTTCCACCCACACCTTCAAAACTTGAACCCAGCAAGCCCAGATAAAAGGCACAGAGAACCCTGACATTCCAGAGGAGCCTCGATCCCAACAGAAATTCTGAAAGGAAAATTCCCCATCCAGGGCGAGATGATTTAGATGTAGAACACCAAAGATGATTTACATTTAGAACACTTAAGATGATAACGTGGCACAGAACGAGGTGGTTCAACAAACAGAGCCCAGCCTGGATCCCCTGCGAGCCCAATTCCACATCAAAATAACAGCAGGAGTCACCAACATTAGTGCAGAAGTGGCTGTGAGGGGCCACCTCTGGGCTGGAGATAGCCATGGCCACCCCTCCTCTCGCCATGGCGGCAGGAACAGCTCCAACTATCCCAGGTGGCTCCAGCCTGGCCTTGGACTCTTCCAGCATTGGGAAATCCATGGAATAACTTGAGCCAGGGCCGCCACACCTTCACAGGTAACAATTCCCTCCCCAAAATTAACCTTAATTTCCCTTCTCACACTGAACTCATTACCACTTTTCCTCATCCCTTTCAGTTCCTGACCATCAACTTCCTTGCACGTCCCTTTCTCATCCTAACCCTGGAATTCTTCCATGTCCCAAGGCTGAGGAAAAGCAGGGCGATGAGAGGAACTCAGGGCTGTTTTCATTACAGACGACAGCCGGGTGATTGAACTAACAGAAAGCAACTCCTGTCGTTCCAGCCCAGCTCTGGTCTCTAGCAGGATGCATTTACTGGGAATTATTCATTGAAATGWTCCCTTGGGAGCTCCCTCCAGCCCTGAGATTCCCCGTGAGGCCGAGGATCCTTCCTGAACACTRATTCCTGTCCCAGAAGAGGAATTGAGCACCTGAGTGTCCCCCAAATGGGATTAAATTTTCAAATTATTTCCTGAAGATTGAAGCCTTTTAGGAGACGGGAAAGTGGGATATGATACAGGAAAAGAA